CAGGGTGGAGAGAAATGGTCATGGCCACAAAGGAACAGGGTCTCTACTAGCGTGAAAACAGCACAGATCACAATGGTGGTGAACAGACCTCTCCCTGGCTCATACCACTTTGGAAGCATTGAAAACTTATAGGCCCCAGACCATGCTATGGAGGCAACAGAACATAAAAAACAGACACTCAGGTCTGTCATATCGCACACAGAAAGACACACTCACAGACACCAGAGGTTAGAGGAGCCCAACTCTAACAGAAGTTCCAAAGTCAAGAATTAGGTTGGAAAAAGGAGCAAACAACACACAAAGAACATGACCATAAAAAGCTACTGTGTTAACAAGAAGTTCAAGACACAATCTAAGATGAAAACAATGATGAAAACATCTACAAGCAATGCCTTTTTTAAAAAATGCAAATTGGATGGAAGCCCAACAAGATTCTCTAGAAGACCTAGAAAGATATGGAAAAAGAAAAAATATAAATAAATAAGACTGACAAAGGAAAAACTTGAAGAAAGAAATGAAATTTATGGTACAAAATCATGAAAAGAATTAACAGTTTTGGTAAAAGAGGTCCAAAAAGTACTGAAGAAAATACTTCCTTAAAAATCAGAACCAGTCAAATGGTAAAAGAGGTTAAAAAAAAAACACCTCACTGAAGGAAATAATTCCTTAAAATTTAGAGCTGGTCAAGTGGAAGCTAGTGACTTCATAAGACATTAAGAACAATAAATTAAAGTAAAACATGAAAAATAGAAGAAAATGTGAAATATCTCATAGGAAAAACAAGTGACTTGGAAGATAGATCAAGGAGAAATAATTTAAGAAGTATTATTCTCCCTGCAAGACAGCTGAGAAAGAGAGAGCCTTGACATTATACTTCAAGAAATTACAAATGAAAATTGCCCTTATACCTTGTAACCATAGGGCAAAATAGACATTGAAAGAATCCACTGGGCATTTCCTGAAAGAAATCCCAAAACAAAAACTCTCAGGAATACTATAGCCAAAATTCAGAGCTTCCAGGCCAAGTAGAAAATATTGAAAGCAGCCAGAAAATACTGTGAAGCCATAGAAAGGATCATATAAGATTTAGCAGCTATCACTATAAGGAAGTGGGGGGGGGCTTGGAATTTCATATTCCAGAAGGCAAAGGATATAAGATTGCCACTAAAAATAACCTGCCCAGAGTATAACCTATAATCCAAAAATAAATATTTAATGAAATGAATGAAGGATTTTCAAGCATTCCTGATAGAAGGAGTAATTTCAGAAAAATCTAGGAAAACTTATGTGAACTGATACAAAATGAAGTGAACAGAACCAGAGGAACAACGTATACAGTCACCATAATGTGGTAAATATAATTAACTGTGAAAGACTTAATAACTCTGATCAATACAATAATCCATGAGAGTTCCAAAGGACTCATAATGAAAAATGCTATCCATCTCCAGAGAGAGAACTAATGGACTCAGAGTGCAGATTGAAGCATTTTTCTTTATTTATTTTTCTTTATTTTTCTTGTTTTCTTTTTCCAGAACATTGCTAATGCAGAAATATGTTTTACATGACTTCATATGTATAATGAATACTGTATGTCTTGCCATCTCCAAGGGTAGGATGGAGGTAGAAGGAAGGAGAGAGTTTGAAACTAAAAATAAAAATTAAATTAGAAAAAAGAAATAAAAGAAATGCATTAAGAATATCAATTTTAAAAATAACTTTGAAGAAATAATGAAACAAAAAACTCTAGATGGATAAATGAAAGTAGGAGCTGATTTTTTTAATAATAATAATAAATCAATCAGCTGATCATCAAGCATGTATTAAGCACTTACTATGTTCCAGGTACTAGGTTAGGTGCTGAGGATGTAAAGCCAAAAATGAAATTATCCTGAACCATTAGCTAATATTGTCTTAAAAAAGAAAATAGAGAAGCAAATGACCAAAATTTAAAAAGGAAGAGAGAGACTTCAACAAATGAATAGGAAATAAAGGAAACTATTTTCCCTAATGATATGGTCTCCTAAATTGGCAACTTAAGTGAAATGACTTAGCATACAGATTTTAAAAATATGAAGTACCCAAATTAAAGATAAAAATTCAGAATTTAAATAGAGAACTTTAAAATAATAGAGAATTTAAATTACCTGATCACAGAAAAATAAATTCAAAGAGCCATAAATGACATCCCAAACAAAAATCTCTCAGGATAAAAAGAATTAATAAACTGGCCAATATTTTAATAAAAAATCTAATTTTATACAAAATATTTGAAAATATTGACAAAGAAAGCATCCTACCAAATTCTTTCTATGAAACAAATATGATCATGATAATCAAGCCATGGATACATAAGTTATGGAAAGATAATTACGAACCCCTATAGTGAATACTGATACAAAAATATCGAGTAAATATGATAAAAGAGACTACAATGAACATGTTAAGGAGATTCTATTCTATGCCCTAATTGGACTTATGCCAGGAATACAAATAGTGAAGTCAAGTCAGCAAACAATTTTTAGGTACCTACTTTGCACCAGGAACTTGCTAAGTGCTGAGGATACAAAAAAGAAAAGGAAAAAAGTCTCTTTTCTCAAGAGCTTACACTCTACTGGGGAATGGTTAACAACATTTAAACAACCATGCATGAACTACATTATATATATATGTATATATATATATATATATGTATGTATGTATATATGTATATATATATGTATGTGTATATATATATATATACACACACACATACATATATATGATAACTATTTATAATGAAAATATTAAAATCATATGAGTTTATCAAAAGATTCTGAAAATTTTCTAGCAAAATATAGTACACATTTATGTTACAAATACCCCAAAACCACAGGAATAAGTAAGTTTTTCTTTGATTTAGTAAATCATGCCCATCTTAGAACAAGACCTAGCATTATCTGTAACAGAGAAATGCTAGAGAACTTCCAATAAGATGTGGGATAGACATAGTAGCTATAGCAATAAGACAAGATTAAGAAACTAAGGGAGTAAGTATAGGCAAAAAAAAAAAAGTAATGCTATTTATGTAAGATATAATTTTAGAGAACACCAGAGATTCAACTAAAAAAGTCTTAATAATTATGATTTTTATTTCAAGTTATTTTAATTAATCCTGCATTTTGATTATCTTTGAGTTCATTTCTTATATTATGCCAGGAATATCTGACATACTTTAACTCTAACATGTAAATTAGACTCCCCCACAAGCCACCTTCCACTTTCTCACATTGCTATATATTTGGACTTTGCTTTCATAACTGTCCTTGAGTTTCTCCTTTCAATCTCATGTCAACCCTGGGTCTTACAGAAGAAAAAAAAAAGGAATGTATGTTACAAAGTAGCTCCAAAATTCAAAGTTCAACCTTCTGGTTGTGGCTTCTTAAACCCCATTTTTCACTAAAGAGCTTTATAAAGCACAGAGGTGGAAAGACAATAATACCATGATCAGTCTATGGTCAATGTATGAAGCTATCCCTTTGCTGTCAATATTGTCTCTAAAAAAAATTAAACTGTTGAGTTATTGAAAATAGGATGCTTATTTAATTGAACTACAGAAAAGTTTCAAAAATATCTAGTTATCTACGTAAAAGACATTGTTCGACAACTTTATTAAATTTTTTAAGCAGACTTAGGTTTGTCTCTGCAGGTCCTGACAGGAACTTGGAAATCATCCATTAAGGAGAGCCCCATACCTATATATTTACATTATCTGGTATCAGGGAAAATAAACATGGGGAGGGGAGGAGACAAGAAGGAAAGTAGGGTAGCAAGAAGGGGGAGGGTAGAGAACTTTCTAAATTCTGAATTTTTATCAATATTAAAAGACCTAAAAAAAAAATTTTTAAGTAGTAGCTAGTGGAGTGCCTATGGGCAAAAGCAATTAATGAAGATTTGCCTTACTTAAACATTCATTAGGAAAAAAGGATCCAGAGCTATCCAAAGGATAGATTAAGTTCTATGAACCATAAAATAAGGAGAACACAGATCTGGGATTGACATACTTAAAGAGGGGATTTTTGAGAAGAGAATAATTGAGAGACAAGGAGGTATTAGCTGGAAATTACTAAGCTTCTAATTCGATAAACAACTAATCAGTGAAACGGACAGAACACTTTAAAATAATTTCTTAAGTACTATGAATAAGTAATTTTTAAATAATATGAAAATGGCTCAAATAGACAGATGAAGTTGATCTTTCATAACCTGGAATCTGAATTGCTTTTAAAAAAAAAAGAGCACATTCATTTTTGTACCAACTTGCTACTATACATGTTTTAGTTAAAAAAGAACTTAATAAAAGTTATTTTTAATTTAGAAATCTACTTTTCCTTTTCCCAACTACTCATCTATCCACACACACACACACACATATCTTCATAAAAGTCATTTTTATGTCTGACACTATTTACATTTCCATTCCTGGTGTGATTGTTAAGCACAGCTATCTTTTGGACAGTATAAAAGTTCTACACATTTATTCATACCAATGAAACCCTGCTGAATAAGAGTACATTTTCCACTTATTCTTTAATGACTTTCTTATATATGGGAGAGACTGCCTGCTTGCTGACATTCTTAAGGCATTTACTGAATAAAAACATGGAATAATCTTGATAGCAGCATAAAGATGTATTGGGAGTGAGGTAAATCTTTTGGCATTATTTCAGATTCCTAAAACCTTGAATTCTTTCAAAAATCACACGTTAATCTCAAAAAATTCAAGGTTTATCTCTATTCTCTTCAAGAAAAATTTTTCATAAAAGGTGAGCTATTAGCTATGATTGCATCTTAAGTATAAACAGCTTCAACTCTCAAACTAAATAATCAAAGATGATTTTTTTTATCTATCATTCAGAGACTCTGTGTATCTGCTTAAACTGTTCACTTCAGGGTTTTACTGATAATTGCTTCTTCTCTCTATGTTCACTATCCCCACTCCAAATAGAGGAATTACTTACCTCACTCATTGTAGTTTTAAATGTAAGGTCCTGGACTTCTACTTCCTCAGAACAGAAGAAATTGTGCAAGGTTTCTTGCAGTTCCTAGCTTTTGTCTTTAAAAGGGCTGCTGACTGTCATAATATCACCAGTAAACCAATAAGATTCATTTACCTGCTATAAATACCCAGCATATATTTGATAGCACAAGGGGCCACCTAGTGTACAAAAGAGAAAAGATTAGCCAAAGTTATTGACTAAACTCCACAGCAGAAAAAGAAAAAGTAGGAAACTGGAAAGTGGGAGTCACAAGTGCAAAAATAATGATGTGCTTTCTCTATATTACATAATTTAAACACGTCCCAAATGCTTTTTAAAAATATTAGTCAATAAGAATATTTTTTTCTTTTTAAAAGAGATCATGAAGCAATTATGCCCCCTAGTATGTAACTCTCTGAAGACAGAGTCCTTGTCTTAATGATTTTTATACCAAACAGAGTAGGTAAATTTATAAATTGTGGATACATGAATAAATTAATCCCTTCATTAATTTTTTTCCTTGGGAATATTTATTTCCCTTTTTATTTTGCAACTTCTCCCTAGAAGCAGATTTTCTCTTTCTCAGAGAAAGGCTGCTATGCAGAAGAGGGATGGTACAACTTCACCCCAGATGACAAAAACCAGAGCAATGAAACTGTAAAGAAATTTTGGCTTGGTGTAAGGAAAATCTTCCTTAAAATTAGAACTATTCTACAGACGAGAGCCCCCAACTTAGGGCAATATTGAAAGTCAATGAAATTATACAAGCTTCTGGGAAGAGTACAGGTGAGTACAGTATTACTGGTTTAAAATATCCTTTAAGTAAGCTTATTCATTCATATTTGAAACTTGTGAGCCTTTCTGTATACAAGGACTATACTCCAAGGGGTATCAAAGATCAAAGTTCCCAATTCATTGTGGTGAGGCAAAGTAACCGGAGAAGTAGAAAATTCCCAAAGTATATTTAATATCAGAAGAGAGCCTTTAACTCAGAGATCACAGTAGAATGAGAAGACTGAAGTAGATTGAAGTAGATGAATTGTGACCATTTTGTGGTTCACAAAATCCTTGAAGGTTTGTAATGATGGTCCAAAGGATTCTCACTAAACATTCTTTAACGGTGCCTTGTATAGTAAATAATTGCCGAATTGTAGCATAAATACATTTTACCTCTGGGACATGTATGTTTAAAGCATTATAATTTTTTTTTCTGTAGTGAATCAGAACTATCACGATCATGCACACACCAATTTTGCGTGTCTGCAGCAATTACATCAAACTCTGACTGCTTCTAAGTATGTATTCTTATAGTTTATTAATCTGTCATCAAAATGTTTCCAAACCATCAGAAAGACTCAACATTCAAGCACAAACCAATTCTCAACAAATGGACAGACACAATTGAATATATTCGTTAGCATTTTGAACTCTACACCAGAGTAGCTCCCTTATTCCCCTCTCTTATCCTATAATCATACTTCATCATTTGTGTAATCACAAGATCAAGATGTTACAAATGTTTGTATTCTTGCAATACAAATGCCAGGCTTTTTGAAAACCACAATCATTAGGCATGTGTATTATAAGCCATCTTGAAACCATCATGGTTTATGACAAATATTTTGTTGAAACACATATTCCACAAAATTTGTGAAATTTTGTTAAAACAAAATGATGTGTGTGTATCTATCTATCTATCTATCTATCTATCTATATATATATATATATATATATATATATATACATACACACATATATGTACACATACATGTCAAAAATTTGGTAAAACAAATAATTTTTATGTACATAATAGCAAACATATGAGGTTTTGCCAGGTTACTTCTGTTTATTTTTATAGAATGTCTCCTATTAAATATTCATGTTTCTTTTATAATTAAGCTTTATAATTTTATATTTAGAGTTTTCATAATTACAGGTAGAATAAAATTTTATATATTATAATCATATTTATGTAATGTATATTGTAATTTGGAGCTTTTAGTAGGGGAAAAAGTTATCATTGCATGAATGAATATAAGAGAATATTTTGAGCAGTATGTTAAATTACTCTTGGGGCTCACAAAGCATTTTGTTATTGTTGAAAGGGGTTTATGGAACAAGAAAATGTTGGAAACCACTGAAGTAGAGAATCATTAAGGTCTCTTCTATCACTGAAATTCAGTGGTATGGTTACCTTTCAAATTCCCCACTAATTGTTATGTCTTTCCCAAGACATAGTTTCATAACAAGCCTCAAAAGAAACTGCATACAAATACTAAAGAGTTATATAAATGAACTAGAAACTCATAAACTTACTATCCATTAACAGCACCACTCAATGCCTTAGACACAGTGAAAAGGGACAACTCTAGTTTAGGAGAGAAAGAAGTAGTTGAGGGGATAATTCAAACTTTGCTTAGGAAAGGGAGTACAATTTTTTTCTTCTTTGGACCAAATACTAACTAAAAGACTGAGGAAGGGCGGAGGGTTTGGGGGCAATAAGAATGAAGAAGTTAAGAGAAGCTTTGATAAGAGAAGCGTAAGAATTAGGAGTGAATGAAGAAGAGCTTATTATTAGATGAGGGGTGGAAGAGATGGGCGAAGAAAAGGAAGAAAGTTGTCTAGGGACAGAAAAGATAAACTCAGAAGCTTTTGCTTCCTTACTAGTTTGGTGGTAGAAGTTCTGAGCTTAGAGCCCTTATCCTGCTCTTTCTCCCTTATCTTTGCTTCTCTTATCTCACAAAGTCCACCATTTCATGTAGTCATACCTTGAGACTTCTCCTTCTTCCCTTAGGACAGAATGTTAGAGAATTCCTATTTTTTTTTAAAACTTAATGTACAAATTTTTATGTTTATTCCAATTAATTAAAATGAGTAGGCTTTGGAGTTCCCAAAACAACTTAGCAGCAGTAATAGTAAATAGTAAATGACACTCCTCCTTACACCCTTGTTGTCTTCCCAATAAAGTGCAAAACATTCATCTCCTGGTTTCCACATTCTTCCGCATTCCACAGGAAGAGAAGATTCCAATACTTTTTCTGGTTTGATTGTCCCAGACCTCCTTTTGGGCCCACTATTATAAAATAACATTTTATCATCAAAAGCTGAAGCCCCAGTGGATCCTGCAGACTTAATAGGTCCAACTCATCTTCCTTTCATTGAAACTTCAACCTCTCCATTTGGTATATCACTGAAGCCATCGATTCTAACAGAATTGGGGTAATCAGCATTCATACTAAAATGTTTCTCATTTTTCATACCACTAAAGGCTTCATTACTTATTGTTCTTGTTTTCCTTTCATATAACTGATCAGGGTTTGATATTTGATTTTTCCTTTTCCCATGCTTTTGATTACTATGGTCTATGGTTTCTTGAGGAAATAGACTTTCTTTTACCTCCAAGTAAGATGGACCTTTGACTGGTCTATTTTGCATAGAATTATCTCTTTTTTTAAAAGCACCATGATTCTGGTGAGAAGTTGAAGGATATGCAATATCCTTAATTCTGTCATTTCTAGTATAAGATCTATCACTCTTAATTCTCTCTTCTGTCCATGCCTCATGTACCACAGAAGAACTCTGTCTTTCAGGACCTCTGCTCCTAGATAACCAGCTGTTTTCTAAAATTTGTCTTGAATTTTGAGCGTCCCGTTGAAAATGAGGAGATTTTTCATTCCTTGGTTTGTCTGATATCATTTCGAGGAAAGTGTCTTGGTTGATTATAGTCTTTTACTCCATTTTGTTCACTATTCAACAGTCTGTGTTGTCCCTGATGAAGAGGCTGAGACTGTGATTTCAATTTTTCCATGTTTAAAGACCCCATTTTTGACTCCAAGAAATCACATAACTTGCTGGGTGCAGATGGCCTGGAATTTCCTAATTCCTCTTCATCTTCACATCTTCCTCATCCTCTGCCTTTTCCTTTGCCTCTCACTAGCTTCCAATTGCTCCATTCTAATTTTTAATGAAGTATTTTCTTTAGTAAGCTTTGGCAAATTCTGCTTTTGAAGGCATTCTTCTCCCATTGGCTTTTTGGACCTCTTTTGCCATTTGAGTTAGGCTATTTTTCAGTGTTATTTTCTTCAGTATTTTTTGGGTCTCCTTTAGCAATTGACTTGTTTTTCATGATTTTCTTACATCACTCTCATTTCTTTTCCCAATTTTTTCTTTGAAAACTAAACTAACAACCCATGAATGCTGAGCAAAACTATGTCCACTTAATTCTATCTCAGAGGAAGATAAGGAAGGAATAAATACAGGTCAGAGACCTAGGCTTCTCCTTTTGGGAACCTAGACCCACGTACAAAGACTTAGCTGCCCAGATGAGCATTCATATCAGAGGTGGAGCTACAAATATGATGACTGACACATGTAACTTATGAAGGAAAAGTTAGTTTCATTTTTATAGGCAGGAAAATCCTTGAGACATCTGGGATTCAAGATACAAAAGTGCTGATTAAAAGAATATTGGAACTAAGGGAAGAATTGATGTAATGTTAATTGATTGATGATTGATGTTAATTAAGGTTTTATTCAAGTCTCTTTGTACTCTAACTGTAGTTTAATCTGTAACCTATTCTTAGAGAGTCTTAGTGAAAATAAGGAGAATCCAATTTAAAATCAGTGACTTTTTCAAACAAAAGTCTTTTCTAACTTGCAGGGAAAAAAAATTAACTCCTATAAGTTTATATTATAGTAAAGATTTGTTTGTCATAGATTATAAAGTTTACTGTAAATGTGATTTTTAGACAATTTATTTGATATATTTCACCATGTCAGAATAATTTTTAAAAGTTTATTTTTCATATCCTAATTAAATACCTAAATCCAACCTCATTCAAGTAGAGGTGAATTAAACATTGATCAAAATCTGATGAAAACCTAACAGACCCCACTAATTTTAAATTTGTAGCAATCACTCTTTAAAAGTCAAGATTGGGGAGACAAGTTGGTGGAGTGAAAGCAGTGACTTCCTTCAGCTCTTCCCCAAACCCCTCAAAATACCTATAAAAAATTGCTCTAAACAAATTCTAAAGGAGCAGAACCCACAAAAAGACAGAGTGAAGCAAA